CCCTCATGAAGCATGTACACCGTGGGAAAGACAGCGTAGGCAGACAAAAAGTAATTGTGAGACATGTATCCATCAATGTCAAATCTTCTGAAGAAAAGCAAAGAGAGAATCTGATGGAACAGTATTTTGTGTTAGGTAGTGTGATAAGAGCAGGAATCTTGGATGAAACGTCTCTGTAAAGTGAGGTAGCAAATCACACAGCAGTCCAGATAGTGTCTCGGTCGTGGGGCCAGAGATGTTTGAAGAGAGTTGTGCTTGGAGTGTCCCGGTCTGCAAGGAATCTGCCCTAGCTAGAAGTATTTGAATGTGTGGCAGAGTGAGAAGAAATGATTTCAGATATATCCTTGAACCAAATCATATACAGTCTTACAGGTCATGATGTATAAAAACTAGAATTTTATTCTAAGTACAATGGGAAACTCTTCAGTCAGAGCTGGGAAATGGAAGTGTCTGATTTATGTTTTCAAAGCACTACTCTGACTCCAGATGAATAAGCTTCTGGAGGACAAATGTGACAGTGGGTGTCTAGGTAGGATGCTGCTGTAGAGGCCTGGCCAGAGATGGCTCATCTGAGAACATAGTGGTGAGGACTGATGGGATATATTGTGAACACAGAAGTGTCAGGATCTGGTGACGGTTTAGATAAATGTAAGAATCAAAGATGTCCCCAAAATTTTTGGCCTGAGCAATTACATGAATGGTGGTGCTGCTTTTTGAGATAAAAAAAACGCACGGAGAATAAAGATCGGATGTTATTAAGTTTAGGGCAGTAGATCAAGAATTTGTTTTTGGCAGTGGCAACGTGGAGATGTCTGTTTGATAGCAAAGTCTGGGATTAAGTGAAGACATTATACCTGGCAGTAAACAATTGAGAGTCATCACAGAATTCACGAAAGAGAAAGAGTAGACAGGAGAGTTGAGGATGTAGCCCCAGGGAATCCAGTATTTAAAGTTCTACAAGAGGAGGATGATCAAGTGAAAGGGCCTGGAAGGAGCAAGCTGGTGACAGATCAGAACAATTGGGAAGACTGAGCTTCTTGAACATTTTTTTCCTAATTTCTTATAATTTGTTTTTATGAAAAATTCCCTGATTGCACTGACTTAGTATGTTTGTCTTTGTAATAGTGCAAGAGCATTTGCAAAACATAAATAGATTAATGTAGTCGATCTTCAGATGCATAAGGGTTTGGGGTGCTGAACCCCTATGCTGTCAAAAATCTGTATTTAAATTTTGACTTCCCCTAAACTTAGCTACTAATAGCCTTCTGTTAACCAAATGACTTGCCAATAACATAGTTTATACCCATTTTGTATGTTATATGTGTTACATATCATATTCTTTCAACAAAGTAAGCTGGAAAAAAAATGTTTCAAAGAAAATCATAAAGAGGAGAAAATGTGTTTAGTGTTCCTTGAGTGGATGTGGGTTATCATAAAGGCCCTCACCTCCGGTAGGTGAGTTGGGTTATCATAAAGGCCCTCACCTCCCGTCAGTGAGGAGGAGGAATAGGTGGGGCTGTTCTTGCTGTCTCCTGTGGCAGAGGAGGAAGAAAATCTGCCTTTAAGGGACCTTCGCAGTTCAAACCTGTATTGCTCAAGGGTCCACCGTAATATAAAAGTACAGGTGAATCAGCCTTCAGTATGGTTATTTCTTTTGCTGTGACAAAAACAACTTTCCTTCTTGAACCTTTATTTCCTTCATCTTCATGGGAGGGCACCAACAGCTTTAGACAATATGCATATTAT